TAGATTTTTTTTCTTTGCATTATTTTGGATTTCAAAAACAAATCCATATGATCATTATATTATTTAAACTATAGTTTTAAATTTGAATATTTAGATTTTTAGACGTGCTTCTATTTATATTGATTTTGATGTGAATGAAATTTTGTTTCCTTTTTAGCACTACTTGACCAATGAACAAGGACTATCGACATCAACATGATTTTAAGCTTGATTTTTAACTATTTTTGGACAGATTTTTCCTTAATGTTGGAGAATATGTAGCTTGTCAAGCTGTACATGCCCTTAATGTTGGAAAGTATGTTGTTTTTGGACATATTTACCCTTGCCCCTGCTTCTTAATTGTTCTTGAAGTGGGTAATTTTAACCTGGTATTCTAATGTTGCTTCCAAACCCAAATCCATTTCCCGATTCCCATGAAGCTCCTTAATGCATTACATTTTCTACGTTATTGGCCTGGATAAGGATTTTAGTGAATATACCAAAAGTAAAAGAGAGAGTGAGAAGAAATACTTTTTGGGTTAATACCATTTTAATTAAATATCAACGTACTTTACGAATTAATGAAAGTATGTTGCTATTATTGTCCCCATGGTTTTAACTTTTATACGGTTTATGTTCTTTATGTTGTACTATACAACACCTTTTCAGCTACTAAAGTCTAAATATACATTTCTCCATCACGCAAGAGGCATATTATATAGATACAAGAAACAATAAAACAAAAATGACAAAAATATGTCTAAAACTTACTGCAGGTGTATTGCCAAAATAAAAGAAAAGACTGAATTGCTTCTCTATATATATAGATATATATATATATATATATATATATATATATATATATATATATATATATATATATATATATATATATATGCCATTATAGCAGGTAAACCAACTTCACAAATTAATTTTTTTACTAACTTTTCATTTTCAGCCCCTCTACATGTGGGTTATGTACTAAAATGACACAACTTAAATTTATCTTACATTTCAACCCGCCTAACCCAAAACTCGATTAACCCGACCCATTTGAAGAAGACAAACATGTGGTGGTGTAATTTTTTTTAAACATGTTAAAATGTTAAGTTATTTTGGAATTAACCATGTTCAGTTATAACTTTGAGCACATATTATTCACTTATAAATCAATATTTATATTACATTAGACATTTTGTATGATCTTTTCGGTGATTGTTAAAAAAAAGTATAATATTACTTCGTTTCTTGATAAATTAAATTGATATAATTAAGTGATAATAATATCTAATAAAAATAACCAAATTTTAAAAATGAAATTTGAAACGTTTGTAAGTATGTAGGGGATAAACCAAAAATAGATGATTAGACGCTTCACTTTTTTTATAATAACATTTAATCTATTTAGAGGTCTTATATCTATGATGGAGGTAGCTTAATTATAGAAAAAAGATTAACATGTTAAAGACTTCATTTTCAACTACTTACCATATATACTGCTTTGAGATAAATATATAGTTAAATCTCAATGGTGACCACTTAGATAAAAAATAGATAGAGTATATATCAAAAGTTATATCTTATTATATTATAATATAAACCATATTATTTCTAAAAATAGATTTAAGATGTTCAAGTGTTTAAGTTGAATGTATATTATAATTTAAATTGTCCACATAACTCTTATCGACAATTGTTTAGATGTAGTAATTATTTGTGGAAAAGAACTAATTGTCTCTAAAAACTAATATTTGAAAGAAACTATTCATACCCGTCGCTTGGCGCGGGTAAACGGCTAGTATATATATATATATATATATATATATATATATATATATATATATATATATATATATATATATATATATAAGGTTAAGGTTTAAGAAGTTATACCTCATTTTGGGGATGTTACATTATGGCTATATGGACCATATGGAATTTTGGAAATTCCACTATCATTGGGTCATCATCTCCTAGGAAATCTGCTACTTCTATGATATCGTTCATAGGGCTTTTTGTTTTTTTTTTTTTTGGATTTCCGGTAGGTATACAAAAAAGCTAACTTTTCTTGGGTTTCTTGGTTGTATAACCCTAGTTTAGCTTGTATTATGTTGTAATGGTTATTTTCTAGCTTCTTGCTAGGTTTTTAACAAATCCCCCGCCTTTCCAAAAAATCAAGATCAATCTTAACATTTCGAATGCCTGCAAAAATCAAATTCATACTCAAAAAATTGTTGTTAATTGCTATTAAACATTTGCAATATATGCCAATCTTCACTCATTATTAATAAATTGAAACTACTACAAGCAACTTTGGAAAAGAAGATAAATAGGCAACGCATTACTATTTTCTAAACATCGATCTTTCTGTCAATTTTAAAAGTAAATTAATTTATTATATTTTCATAATAAATATTTTTAAGAAACTTTTCACAATCAAAATCAAAACCAAGACGTTTAATCTTTCTGAAGACGTGGTAGATCAAAAATAAGATTTAAAAGTTTTAATTTTGAAAACCTTATTTCTGTTTTAATAACTGCAGTGAAAACAATCAACAATATTATGTATGCTATTAAAGAAACTGAATAAGTTTTTATCTCTTTTAAGAAGTTTAATATTGCAATAGTTGTATCATGTTCAGTTGGTAAACGATATTTGTAACAATTTCAACTCGTTAAATAAACTGTCACAGTAAGACACTAATGTCTGAGATATGACCATTTTGTAACTTCTTTTCAAAATTTATTTAGTTTTCTTTAGTTCATCAGTATAACTTTTCTATTGTGAATAAGAATCCAAAAATGTCTGCATACTACTTATATTGCTTAAATCTTCACCCAGTGAACTAATAGTCTAAGCAACAATATATGTACACAAGTTATTAAATCATGAAAGATAATCTAGTTCATTTACTATTTTCAACTACTAACCGTCACTCTCGTCAAATTGTAATTTCTTGAAAATTATTTTTTAATTATTTTTCTCAACAAAAATCGAATAAATTTTTAAGTTAGAAGCTATAACTAGATGACTAAACTGCACAAATGGTCCTTGTGGTTAGCTGAAAATTGCCACTTTGATCCAAAAAAGTTTGGACTAGCACCAGAGGTCCAAACTTTTCATTTTGTTGTGATTTTGGTTCAACTTCTATTGATCTTTTTTATAATGACGATTTTGCCCTTACCTTTTTCTTTTTCAGTTTATTTATTTACTAAAAATACTTTTCCAATTAAAAAAAGAAAGAAAATCTCTCTCTCTCTCTCTCTCTCTCTCTCTCTCTCTCTCTCTCTCTCTCTCTCTCTCTCTCTCTCTTCCTAAAAAAACACATAGTTGAAATCGATTTTGTAACTCAAGAACTCAAGACCAAAAGCATCAGATGCACACCTATATTTCGTTTTTGAAATCGATTTTGTATTTCATTTATGAAACTGATTTTGTATTTCGTTTGTTGGGTTTCTGGAACTTGATTTCAAAAATTAAAACACACACGCACAAAAAGATATGTTCCATTTCCTCTGTTCCTCACCAAAAAACCCATCGATGGTCTCTAATTTTCAATTGACAAAGGTGATAACGAAGGCTTGAAGCAAAACGAGACTGAAATCGATTTTGGATAACAAAGGATTCGAATTGAATAACTGATTTTGAACTGGTTCGACTTTCGGATAGTCAAAACTTGATATCTGAATATCGAAGGTTTGATTTAGAAGTGGATTGAATAATGAAGGAGATGAAACAACGAGGGTGTTTCCCCTTACTCATCCACGACCCAGCAGCCCCGAAATCACATCCGCTCGCTGCTTCTTCCCACCTGCGTCGCTTCGCTCTCGTCGACCCGGAGACTTCTCCCTCCTCACGATCTGCAATCGCCGATACCTCTCTCGGTCCCCTTTCTGGCTTGCGACGAGCAAGGAACCAAGGAGCGAACCCCCCCAAAATCGAAGTTGGTGTTCAATTTCTTCTCTACTTGCAATGACGCTTCCGTTCCTTCTGCTGCCTTGTGTTGGGTACTATTCACAGTCTCCTGTTTTCTTATTGTACGACAACGAACGAAGGAAGGGAAGGGTGTTGCGTTGGGTTTGATCGGTGAAGGCAGCGGTGATGTTGTGGTGGAGCAAGGTGGTGCTCGGTGGTGTTGGGGTGTCTCTTGGTGTTTCCGGTGGTTAGGGAATGAAGCAGCAACGAGGGGTTTTGGATGGTGTTTCTCCGACGAGTGGGTAATGGAGGCTGCTGCCTTCTTTTGGGTCTTAGAAAAAAACACAAATGGTCGTTTATGGGGAAGAGAGAGAGAGAGAGAGAGAGAGAGAGAGAGAGAGAGAGAGAGAGAGAGAGAGTTATTTTCTTTTTTATTTTTCTTTTAGTTATGAAAATATTTAAATAAATAAAAAAACTGAAAAAAAAAACAAAAAAGAAGGGTAAAATCGTCATTACAAAATTTTTTAAAGTAAATTAGACCAAACTCGCAACAAAATGAAAAATTTGGATATGTGATGCTAGTCCAAAACTTTTTGGACCAACGTGGCAATTTTCAGCAAACCACAGGGACCATTTGTGCAGTTTTGTCTAACTAGATAGTTTTGTGGATATGAAAATGTATTTATTCTGATATCTAAATTTTATATTAATAATAAATTTAACAAACCTAATATTTATTGTTAACAAAACATGAATAAAATTAGTAGACTGAAACTATACTTTAATTAATTAATATAACATTATTTTATCTTTTAAATTCTATGCAACCGCACCACCAGCACAACCCAGAGCCACCACTATATATAGGAAAGATATAAAAACAGCTACAGCAGGCATAAAAACAACCACGTATTCAGTTAACACCTAGATGCCAATTTTTTTACGGATTTATTATCATTATGGCCCCTTTGCTAAAACCATGTCCAAATGTTTGTGATTTTAAACCATTTTATTTTAGACAAATATATATTACATTTTTGCATCAATAATATAGTTATTGACAGTGACACATTAATTACCTAGGTATAAAAATGACAAAACAATATAAATAGTTAATCACACTTCGATTTTCAAATTGGTTCAGAAGGAAAAACATAATATATCCTTGTTGGTTCAGAAGAAAAGCTTGAACATGCTCAAACTTGTATAAAATCCAACACCAAGTATTTCAAATACATTTGACATAAATGAGTTCAACCCAACTCAACTCACTGAGTCACTGTTCATTAACCTTCTTCCCCAAATTCTTTTGTGAATCGCTCATGAAGCTCAAGATCACTTTTACTCACAGTTGGCCTCTGCCTCACCAAAACCTTGTCAAAATCCGCCCGTATGATTGGTGGCGGACTAATCTGCAATAACTCCTCACATCAGACAGAACAGAACAAAACAGTACAGTCTTATCTTATATCTTATACTGTGTTTGGTAATGTATTGGACTGTTATCGATAGGACAAAAATTACTATATATCTCTTGTGTGTGTGGAAAAGACAAAAATGCCCTTTTCATTACCTTTGAAGCGAGCCCTTTTGCTGCAAGCTCTTGCATGGTGATCTGGACAGCCCCGGGTTGTTTAGGTCCACATGGGACCCACAAGCCGTCGTTTGTGTTAACGAAAAACATGGCGTCTTGCGTTTTACGAACCGGTTCAAATAAAACATCCTTAACCTACACAAAAAAAAATAATAATAATAAATAAATAAATGATAGATATTTTACAATGGTATTTCAGGGTTTTTTTAGGAATTTCACTTACACAAACAGCAATATCAGAACCAGAAAACCCTTCAGTCTTACGACCCAAAGCTTCAAAGTCACTATCAGTTAAGTTATTAGGCGTATCCCCTAAATGCACCTATAAAAAAAACAATTAAGATTTTAGAATATAAAATAATATTTAGAAAATTACATATCTGCCCTCGTATTACTTTGAACATGTGCTGTCTTGCTTTCATATCTGGGAGTGGAATGTATATACGCTTATCAAATCGCCTCCTTATAGCCTGCATTACAACAAAATTAGTCAAGTAGTCAACAGTTGTTTATTTACTAAAATACCCTTATGAGACTAGTTGTTTATTTATTTACTAAAAGACCTGATCGAGAGAGTAGGGTGTGTTTGTGGCTGCGAGAACTAGGACTTTATCATCATTGTGTCCTACACCCTGAAAGAATCAAAACAAGTGTGTTTAAGCTTTAAGGGGTAGTTTAGTAAAAGATTAATGGATTTTTTTTAAAAAAAATGACCTGCATTTGAACAAGAATTTCGGTTTTGATACGTCTTGAAGCTTCACTTTCATTGCCCTCACCACGTTGACCACTTAAGGAGTCAATTTCATCAATGAAAATGATGGAAGGAGCACTTTCACGTGCCATTTGGAAAAGATTTGAGACTAGTTTTTCACTTTCACCCATCCATTTTGAAACAAGATCTGAAGAAGATACACTGCACGAAAAAAGACATTTGAAATTATTAAAAAAAAAAAAAGGAAGTTTCTATTTATGTAGTGGTTAGAAATTGTTAAATTAAGACCTGAAAAATGTAGAGTCTGCTTCAGTTGCAACAGCTTTTGCTAAGTATGACTTTCCTGTGCCAGGTGGACCATATAAAAGAAAAGCTCTCCAAGGTCTCCTTTTACCTACCATTATACAAATTCTTAAGTTGTTAGTGAAGATATAAAATATATCTATGAAATGGTTTTGGTTATCAAAAAACATATAGGGTATGCAATGTGTGTTATAATCATTATTGTGAGAATAATAATTATTTAAGATTAGAATTAAATAACATTGTACTAAGCACTTTTGGTGTGTGGATTGTAAGCAAAATTGAAAGATAAAACATTAGCACTTAGCAGAATAACGCAAGCTACCTCCACCAACCTCCAGTTAAAAGTTCTGTCAATTGAAACTAGTGTTTCTCCAATAAATTGCCCCCATTATTATATATAAAATATCTTCATGACACATAATATCTGCATTTTGCTTGGGCATGAAAGTTACTGTAACTCACTAACATTCTATAAGATCTTGATACACAAGTCAAGTCGTTTGGGAGGCAACTAAAAGTTATGCAGCTCACTAATTTGGGAATTAGAAGGAAAGGAAATAGCAATGAACAAAAGATAACGATGTTAGACCAGTTATGATCGTGAAGAAGTGGCAGAGATGATGAATCAATCACTGAAGTTCAAATAATCTAAGAACCCTAATGAGTTGCTCATGTTCCATCAAATCAAGTAAATAGAAACCAAGATGCAATGATGATATCAAGTATACTAACCAGTAAAAAACTGAGGAAACTTCACCGGTAGAATAACCGCTTCTTGTAAAGCCTGCTTAGCACTCTCAAGTCCAGCAACATCATTCCACTTAACATTAGGTTTCTCCCGAACAATCGCAGAGTTCAATCCAGCCCTAAGCTTTGACTGCTCAGGATCTTCCCCATCTCCACCTCCCCCTTCCCCATCCTTGGGTTTCGTCTTTGGCCGTGCCGCCACCGCCGCATCACCTCCGCTAGCCGCCGGGCCTGTACCACCTTCATCCAGAACAGCCCTAATCTCCTCCGCGCGACGCAAATACTCGGTGAATTTCTGCGTAATCGCTTCACGAATCTTAGGGTTTTTTTCGTACTTTAAGTGAGTCTTGAAGTACTCCAAAGCGTTCATGTACAAGGGAAAAGCTTTTGCGTAATTTCCAGCATTGTCCTCTTGTACAGCTTGCTTCACGTACTCTATTGCTTGTTCTTTGAAATTGCTATACATGGCATATGTGTAATCAGGGGTTTTTGAGATCGAATGATTGTGGGAGTATAAATAGGAAAAAGGGAATGAAACCCTAGAAATTAAGGTGGATCGGGAACTGAAATCGACTAATTTGGGGGTTTGATTGGAGGAAAAGGGAGAAGACGACGATGATCAGGTGACGAAGGAATGGAGTCAAATGCTCCTCAATTCGAATTTACACGCGAGTCGGAGGCTTGCTTTTTATTTTTACTTCCTTTTATAAAATATATTTCTGATTTGTGTTCGACTCACGATCTAATACTAACACGATAAAATATTTTTCTTCTGTTTATCAAGTACAAAATTATGTTACATTAAAAATTAAATTTGTTTATAAGCTAACTTATATACTCCAAAATCTAAACATCGCCCAAACTTTTCACCTCTCACGCGAGTTAGTGATGTTGATGTGGAATTCTTTCATAGACGTGAACCTGATGTGGTGTGGTGTGGAGCTTTGTGACCTCATTTATTAGTATGCTTCCCTCTCTCTTATTTCTTTTCCTTCACTTTAGCAACCACACCCTTTTTGTGGAGTGAAGATGGTCGTGAGGTAGACACATTTACTCTCGTGAACCGTATCCTTGGTGTTCGTTTTGACCAGGAAACAAGTCAAAGGCACTTCTATGTATTTTGCAATATCAATTTTCATAGTCGGCCACCGGTTAAAGTTTTCATATATGTTGGTGCTTCAGGGGTAAACCGAGAAAACAAAGTAAAATCAATCAAGATTAGTTTAGCCTAGCATGGATAAACTCAAGAAAACAAAGTAAAAATAAAATGTACCCAACATGTAGCAAGAATCAAAGAGTAAAAGATGATGTTTTGATGTTCTTCAAGAGCTCCAAGACCACCAAAAACTCCCGAGAATACTCTAATTTTTGGATGTGAAGAGGTATGCAAAAGATGCACACCAACCTTCCCCATATAAAACAAAAAGATGAATTCTTGAAATTGCCCTTTCAGAGCTGTGCGTGACCCACGTGTTGTTGAGCATGTAGCCCGCGCGGGTGGTGCTGATTTGGGCTCCTTTGTGATTTAGGCTTCCAATGACTTAGCCCGCTAGCCCAGAACGAGTCCAATCTGTTTATAGTCCATTGTTCTTTAAGATTTCTTCAATTTTAGCCTATTTCACCTTCTCCAAGTCATCTACAGCTCGTGTACTCGCCCGATCATTTTAATCCCAAATGCACAAATGTTCCTCCACTTTCTTTTAAGCACAAGCTCGTCTTCTTCAAGCCTTCAAATATAAAAAAATCTCATGATTTACATCATCTTCATTAGTCTTCTAGCCCATGATTCTTCATTGTCCTCCAAGTCCATTTGCCTCCTAAAGATCCCGCTCCGCTAGTCTGTTTAAAATTTGCAATTATGCTCACGAAACTAGAAAGTAGCTGAAATAGTCATAAAATAACAAAAAGGAAAATATACATGAAGATTAGCTAAACTATGAATAAAATATGCTAAAATAAACTATAAAAAGAAGTAAATAAAATGAAAGTATCACATGTATACAAGGATATGTGGGTTTAGATGAGAAAGGTATTTGCTAAATACCTAAGAGATAGAAGAAAGAGATAAAAGATGATTATATGTATTATAATCATAAGAGTATGTAAGTACGTCTAGCTACCATTAGTATTCTAGAATGCTCTATGGTACTAGACATAGATATAGATTAAGTACTTAATGTATTAAGTACTAGATAAGTAATAGAAGATCTCTTAATAAGATAAAGAGATAGATTGTCCAATAGATAAGTGTTATGTGATGAGTCACATAACAAAGATAGAGATATAGAGAAAGAAGGTTCCTTTAGGGACAAGAGTATGGTTCATACGGGAACAAGAGATAGAAGGTTCCTTCGGTGACAAGAGTATGGTTCCTACGGGAACAAGAGATGGAAGATTCCTTCGGGAATAAGAGCAAGGTTTCTACGGGGACAAAAGATAGAAGATTCCTTCGGGAATAAGAGTATGGTATCTACAGGGACAAGTAGAGATGGCAACGGGGGCGGGTATTACAGGGGACCCCAATCCCCATCCCCATCCCCGAATCCTCATTCCAATCCCTATCCCCATCCCCATCCCCGTCGGGGAATATAAATAAACCCCCCATCCCCACCTCCAATGGGGATTGGGGATCCCCAACGGGGAAGCGGGGATTTCTTTTTCTCTTTTAATATGAAAACTTTTATGTAAAGAAAAACTCTAAATTTCAATTTTACCATCATAAGTTTAGAGCATACGGTATGGGCAACGAGAAGTGGTATTATTGCTGATGTGGCACCTCATCACCTAGTCATAACAAGATGAGCACCCCCCCCCCCTCTTCTTGTTAAGAGGGTGTTATGGCATATCTCGTTGTGACGAAGGCAAGATACAACAGAAAGTTTAATTGTTTGTTGCCTTTATCAACCAATCAAATCATTTTCTTTCTTTCTCTCTCTACCTCTTAACATGTTATAACATGGGGAACACCATTTCCCCCTTGGTGTTATGGTTGAGGTGGCATATGAAATTGGTGTTATAACGTGACTCATACCTATTGCTCTTAAAGATTTTACAAATTATAAAAATATCCATAGATTGCATAAAAAATATAAACAAATTTTCTTCCAAATTTAAATATGTACATGAAAATTCAAGTAGAAAAAATTTATCAAAGAGATATTTGAGTTAAAATAGATAAACAAAATACAAAAAATATACATGAGTTTAACTTAGATAAAAGAAAAAATATATAATTTCAACCAAGTAATTACTAATGAGTTAGGTTACTTGGATCAAATTTTATGTATTGTAAATTGTAATATAAATATATGTTTTGTATTATTTTTATATATTAATATATATCGGGGGCGGGTCCAGGGTCGGGGATTAGGGGTATCCCCATCCCCATTTTTTTATTCGGGGATTCCCCATCCCCGGTCAACTTGGGGATTCCCCGGTCAAAACGGGTGCGGGTTTCGGGTTCCCCATCGGGTATGGGGTTTTTGCCATCCCTAGGGACAAGAGTAAGATTCCTTTGAGAATAAGAGTATGGTTCCTACGGGAACAAGAGTAGGTTCCTTCGGGGACAAGACATAGAGATTCCTTTGGGAATATAGTAGAGGTTGCTACAAGGACAAAGAGTATGATTCCTGTGGGAATGATATTATGTCCCTACAGGGAAAGAGATGATGATTTCTTTGGGAATATAGATAGATGATTCTCAAGAATGTAGATTGAGTACGGTTAGAAGAGATAGAGAAAGGTTCCTTGCGAGGAACAAGATTAAAGAGTTCTTTATATGAACTTAGATGTAACACACAAGGGGTTAAGAGTAAGGAATCTATGAGGGATTCGAGAGTAAGAAGAAAGATTAAGGATCCACGTAGGATCATAAGAGAGAGGGGTAAGACTGGGTGAGCGTGCCTAGTGATGAAACTCGGATGTAATTCCCTTAGAGTAGAACATGAGAATAGCATGTTAAGAGGCTAAGAGAAGAGATAGAGAAGAGTAGAGATATAGATACAGACAGAGTTAGAGTATGTATAGAGCATGAGAAGAGCTTGTTAAGAGGCTAAGGGAAGAGTATGATAAGAGCCTGTTAAGATGATAAGGGAAGATTATGAGAAGAGTTTGTTAAGAGGCTTAAGAGAAAGAGTAGAAAGTAAAAATAAAGAAGAGAAAAAGAAAGATAAAAGAAAAGAATGATAACAATGTATGCTATTAAAGAAAGAGAACAGATGATAGAGTATGAGAAAGATAATGTGACATCCCCATTTTCGCGGCCAGAAAAGACCGATTTTGTTTATGCTTTATAAAAATCAGAGTACCTCTTTTAATAAAAATGTTGCGGAATTTGTTCCCAGAAAAACATGATAAGTACGTTATCAAAGCATTTCCGAAGAAATGTATTTTCATTCATTTTAAAACATTTGGGATGTCATCGTCAATACAGAGACATAAGCATAAACAGAACTTACATTCATTATCACTAGTGGTCTACATTTCTTTAATCTCTCAGTGTAGTGCAGCTTTATATCGACACCTGTGATACAAATAAACTGAGTGGGTCAGGTTGGGAAACCTGGTGATTACATAGGGTTTTCAACCCACAATAATATAATTATTATGTTTAATCATCAAACAATCAACCCGATTACCCATCCCCATTATCTTTATTCTTAAGGTTTACCCTAAGAATCAGTTATCCTTCATTCATTCATTCCTAAGGTTTATCCTAGGGAACACGCGCGAAGTCCATTACTGCTAATGTCATCTATTAGGCACAACTACCATTATTATCCTTTAGGCGCAGCTGCCAGGATTGTGTTGTTCTCAAGTAGGCGCAGCTGCCAGTATCATCTATTAGGCGCAGCTGCCAATGTTATCTTTTAGGCGCGGCTGCCAATATTATCATCTAGGCGCAGCTGCAGAGATTATGACATTCTCTATTAGGCGCAGCTGCCGATATTATCCTATAGGCGCATCTGCTAGGATGTTTAGAGTACATTGCGTTTCAAAATCATTTATAGGTTATGATGCAGCTACCAATATTCACCTATATCATCTTTCATACCTCATCATTTATCTACCCATGTTCTACCCAATATTTTTTTGTAGATATAAAATACCTCTATAGCTTTAGATTTGAACAAAAGGTTCAGATCTGAAAACAAAATACATCTACCACCTAGATCTGAAGAAAAAGGTTCATATCTGTAAACAAAGTACATCTACAGCCTAGATCTGAAGAAAAAGGTTCAAATCTGTAAACAAAGTACATCTACAGCCTAGATCTGAAGAAAAAAGTTCAGATCTGTAAACAAAATACATCTACCGCCTAGATCTGAAGAAAAATGTTCAGATTTGTAAACAAAGTACATCTACAGCCTAGATCTGAAGAAAAAGGTTCAGATCTGTAAACAATGTACATCCACAGCCTAGATCTGAAGAAAAAGGTTCAGATATGTAAACAAAGTACGTCTACAGCCTAGATCTGAAGAAAAAGGTTCAAATCTATAAACAAAGTACATCTCAGCCTAGATCTAAAGAAAAAGGTTCAGATCTGTAAACAAAGTACATCCACAGCCTAGATCTGAAGAAAAAGGTTCAGATCTGTAAACAAAGTACGTCTACAGCCTAGATCTGAAGAAAAAAGGTTCAAATCTATAAACAAAGTACATCTACAGCCTAGATCTGAAGAA